CTGTACGGACTGCATCCAAGCTGTTCAAGGTCACCTGCCCCTAGTGGCCTCAAGTATAAATAGGAGGCAACCCCCTCCAGGTAAAAGGAGGAATACTCCAACTCTCTAGCTCACTCTTGAGATTACTTGCTCTCTTGTGACCTCGTCCACCTCGTACCCTCTTACTAACTTGACCATTGGAGTCCTCGCCTTGAGTCTTCACCCAAGGCCTTTAACATTCTCCTTCCCTGTAGAACCGATACCGGGATCCTCATCCACCTCAGGTATCAGACAAAGTGGATATCGGACCACGGACCACGGATCTCCCTCATCTCGGACTCTACTCCTTGGCCACGCTTGTACTCGGACTTCTAGTACCTCGGGTCTACTTGGACTTGGGGGTGAATTGACAGTGTTGACCTCGACCAATTCGAGCATCAATAGATGTTATATGATTCATGAAACATGGTATTAAATAATCGAATGAAAACATGTTGTTTGAACCAGAAATTCAAGAACACATTTGTTTGTTTCAATTTTGGAAAAAAACATTTAAAATTAAAAACATATTTTTGTGTTTTTTGTTTTAAAAACCAATTTATTTTCAAAGAATATGATTTTGATTTATTTTTAAAGTTAACTAACAAAAAAAAAACAATTCACATTGGACAACACCTCTTGAATTTTAACTAATCAACCATCAAAATAAATCATTTGAATATTGTTTTATAACAAGTGAAACTGATGTGATTGTCCCTCTTTATAAACTGTTGTTCTTCTTAGTAAATCCTCTTTTATAAATATCAGAGATTCAAATGAAGTATTATACTATTAGGTGAGCTTTTATTGTTAATTTAACAGGAGCAATTCCAATGATACATGTCCATGTGATAGCCATAGTTCCCTCGTTCTCACCATTATTATTGTGGGAGAATGAGGGTGGAGTTTGGTCTTTTGAACAAAGATCGAGGAAGGATGGGAGTTGGAGTTTTTACAATCATTTCCACTTCCCCATCGGCCATCGCCACTTAAATCTTGAGGTTAAATGTTTTTAGCCCAATGTTGAGGTTAAATGTTTTACAATCATTTCCACTCCCAAAGCCACTTAAATCTTGAGGTTAAATGTTTTTAGCCCAATGTTTTGAATGTTTAAGGGAAAATTGGTATTATGAAAACTTTTGGAGTGAATTATTAATGGCTCTAAATGGTGCAATGACAAAGGTCTTATTTATGTTATGTGGAACTAGTTAATAATGCATATATAAGTTGTTTTTCAAAGTTCAAGGTGTATTAGTAGTTTCTCGAATGTACTAATTAACCCTAATTTAAATATAAGAATTAATGAGAGTGATTTGAATAAGGAAAACATTAGTTATTCAAATTACATTTTTATTCTTACAAGTAGAGAGGGATCAAATTCAAAAGTCAGGATATTTTAGTCAAATAAAAGTTTCACACTCTTATTCATACTTTTAATAGTAACTAGTAAGTGTGTCCATGCTTTGCACATGACAATTTTTTGATGATGAGGATGATAATAAATAATATATTTCCAATATTTTCTATAGTTTTTTTATATTTCTATGTCTATAAAGTTATTCTTATTTGTCACACTTAATTTTGGTTAATATGATAAATATACAATAATACAGATTTGCCCAAATGTTTTCTACAATTTGTTTTTGTATTTTTATACTTTTGTGTGTTTTCATCTTTTTAATACAATAATATAGATTTTCCCAAATGTTTTCTACAATTTGTTTTTTGTATTTTTATACTTTTGTGTGTTTTCATCTTTTTAATGTTTTTATTGTTTAATAAAATGTTGAACTACTTGTCAACAAACAAGAAAATAACTCCATTGTTGGGTTAATTTTATATTTATATTTTATTTTGGGCAAATTTCTTAAACTACCCTAAGGTTTAGGAAATTGACTAACTTACCCCTATTGTTTTAGTATTTTCTTAAAATACCCTTACTATTTTTGACAATTGACTAAAACTTCCTTACCATTAGTTTTTGTTAACAGAAGGATTAAAAAGACTATTTTTCCTATCATTCTTCTTTGAATTTTCAAAATTAAACTTTTGACACCTTTTTATGATTACCGAGGCTTATCTTCCTTGCCATCATTGTCTTAAAGTACTCCTCTAATTCTTCTTCGTCTTCCTCGGTCTGAGTAGAGGGCTACCTTGTACCTGTACTAGTTTCAATTTTCAAAGCCAACACAACATCGACCCCTTCTCTCTCTCTCTCTCTCTCTCTCTCTCTCTCTCTCTCTCTTTCTCTCGCCTCTGTTGCATCACCGCCACTGTTGCAATTTACAGTAGCGACAGACCCTGCCACATAGAGGTGTAAATGGATTGAATTCGAATCAGATCAGACAATATCTGAATTTGAATCCGATTAGAAAATCCAATATTCAAATTCGATTTCGTATCCGACGGATATTGAAAATTAATATTCGAATTTGAATCCTATTAAATATTTGAATATTTGATTCGATTCAAATTTGATTAATTAATTATTTTATATAATTAATAAATATATAAAATAAATATTTTATTGATATAAAGTATATAAATATATAAATTATTTATATAACTTAATTATTATATTACGCATCAACTATGCCTTTTGCCTTTTAAAACCTTGCTTTCTTGCACAGTAAAAGATCCAACAATGGAGTGGCTCATGCCCTTGCTCATAAGGGATTAACAAACCAGGGTGTTTTTGTTGGTGGTTGCCTTGATTGCTTCAGCAATTGGTGCAAGCAGACATTTAGTAGTATATGTCTTAGTCCTTGGTTGCCTAGCTTAGGCTTTTTTAGTGTTTTTTGTTGTTGTGGCTTCTTTCTTTGTTGGTTGTGTTTTGTATTACACACTTTTAATAGTAGTATATAGATTAAAGAAATTCAATTTTAACCGAAAACCAATTTCAATTTCAATTTCGATTTTCAGTTTCGGTTGGTTTATATGATTCGTTTTTTAACTGAATAAATCGATTGCTCACCCCTAATTATTCATTAGGTCATGGTTTTATTAATTAATTGACTAGGACCCAAAAAGTTCATTGGGTCAAAGCATAATCGATTCAACCATTCGAGTCGCAATTAATCACACAGAGCCACGAGTCTAACTTGAACTACTGTTGGAATCGGAATCGTCTCTGCGCCAAATTGTTACCCTCGCTTCATTTGGGAGAAACTGAGAAAGAAAAAAAACAAAAGAATCATCTAAGCAAAGTTTTAAAAACCAATCTGAAAATCAAACCGCTTTGGCCACTGATTTTTGAGTCAACAATTCGATCCTTCAGGTCAAGTGGGTCAAAATGGTGAAAGCAAATTTTAGGTGTTTATTGCATCTTGACCATTGAATTAGCATATTAGGTCATAAGGTTAGGAAGAAATATAAACAAAGAGAAGGAAGTTGTTATTCGCTGGGAAAGGAAAGGGAAGAAAGAAAAAAAAGAAGAAAGAAAGGAAGGAGAGGAGGAGGAGGTGGTGGTGATTCACCTGCGGTGGCGGTGTTGGCGACCGTAATAGACATCACAACAAGCCTACAAAGTGTTTCAGATGTGCGGTCTAAGATGTTTTTGTGAAACTTGCAAGTGTTCAGATATTTTTTAACAAAAAAAAACTTTTATTATTTTGTTTGTTCGACTTAAAAAAACGATAAAGATCCTCTACGGCTTTAACCAAATGCATTTCGTTACCAACTTACCATATCTTTCCGTAACATAGATTTTTTCTTGATTTATTATTAAAAAAGGTAAATTGCTGAAAACTGCTCTCAAGTTTTGGACCACTGTTAAAATTACCTTTAAAGTTTGATATTATTACCTTTCCTGAATTTTATTACATAGGTTTAGAAACTTTTTAAAAAAGACATTAAAATATCCAAAATACACATGTAGTTACTTTGTTCAAAATATTTATTTTCTAAGTTTTCTCTGCATAAAATGTACCCAAATCCTTTAGATCTCTTTTCTGAAATTAATTTATTTTCTAAATTTTCTCTCATATCAATTACTCAACTGTAAAGTTGTAACTTTAAGTTCTCTTTGTTTTAATAAAACTTATATTATTTTTTTTTCTTTAGAACCAACCTCAATAGTAATTATATAGATATTTTAGACATTTTCATTTAAATGATTCTAATAAAGGTGCATCTGTGTTAGAAAATTCAGAGGTTGTTATTACAATTACCAAACTTTAGGAGATGTTTAAGCAAAGATTCAAAACTTGAGGGGAGGTTTCAGAAATTTACCCTATTTTTTTCATCGTACTAAGGGTGTTCACGGGTCGGGTTGGGTTGGTTTGAGTCATTTTTTCAACCAATCCGATGTAGTCGGTTTACTCATTGACTAAATTGAAACCGATTGACCCTGAAGCAAAACCAACCCAAACATGAAGGGCCGGTTTATCGGTTTAGTCGGTTTTTATATATATTTTAAACTAAAATATCTATATCTAAATATCTATTTATATTTAAGTTTATTTCTTTTTAGTTTTTATGCAAAACAAAAATATATATTTAAATCGATTAACTTTTTATGCAAAATTGATTTTTTGTCAATATATATTTAAATTTATACACAACTGAACTAAATATTGTACCATTGTATTATATTTGTATTGGTTTTACGTTTTTAGTTTTTATTATAAATTACCATTTTTTTGAAAATTCAAACAAAACACAAATAAAATATATCAACATTTAACATATAGGGTAGGGACTAATTAATAATTACTTAGAAATATAGGATCGGTTCGATTCGATTTGGCTTATGAAAACCGAAACCAAACTAAATTATTGATTTATTTTTCATACAAACCAAAATCGACCAATTTGGGTTGGGCCGGGCCGGTTTGGTCGGTTTGATCGATGTGAACACCCCTAATCGTACCTTTTCATTATTTTATTTGCTAAAATAAAAAGTAATAAGTCATTCAGTTAATCCTGTTCAGCCGTTACCAAGTGGCTACTTTTTTTTTCTTTTCATTTCTTTTTGTTTTTGAACACTCTTCTGCACTTTTCTTTTTGTTCGGCGTCCTACATTTCCCTGCCCTTGCTTCCTATGCAATTCAGCTGTTACTTTCATTGAGAATTTCGATTCGCCTCCTTCGTCGCCATAGCAACTGCCATTTTTGGCGCCTCTGCTTTCGATATCTCCTTTTTCATTCTCACATTTTTCTTTTCTATTTCTCGTTTTTGAAAATTTCGATGTCTTCTGATGTCAACTAACGATTCCCATCACCTACTGCTAGGGTTGGACTACTAAAAAGAGAACATTTCGGTGCGGTTTCAAGAGATCTGTACTGTAATTCACCTGGGCTCCCTTTTGTGTAACATTCTTCAATGGTAATTATGAATTGAAGCTTTCTTCATTTTGATCTTTAGGTTTTGTGTTGACAATGGCTTTGAAGCGGGGTTCCTCCGGCGCCAGCTTCCAGTTCCAGAGAATCAGAGGCGGTGGTTCTTGCTTTCCAGTCGCAATTCTCCTCTTTTTTTCAGTTTTCGCGCCAATGCTTTTCCTTGTGGGACGAGGATTCCGCACGCCGATCCTCACTGGTTCGTCTAACTCTACTCTTGTTCTGCCATTTCCATTTTATAGATCTTGCAAAACGGGTTGCTCTTTCTATCTACTCTTGTTCGATCTTAGCTCACTTATGATTAATTTACCCCCTTCGACACTGGAAATTAGAAAACTAGAAGTCTACTTGTACGCATAGAAAAATGAAGCAATATTCTTCTAGTGCAAAGTGTTCCTTTCTCTAGGACTTCTAGTTGAAGCGACAAAGCAAACAGAGATGAAGGGATCTCTTATTTTTTATTACCAGTCACGAGTGTATGTGAAATTTTACATTTTTTTGCTACACATTCACATTCTACTTGTTCTTTAGAGTAACACTATATTGCTAATACGGAGAATTTGGTGCTGATTCTGCTGAAGGGAGGATTTTATTTTAAATGGGTGGAACGATGGATTGTAGAAAAAAAAGGAATATATCTTTATATAGGAAAACTACAAACATTTGTGAATACTAGGAGCTTTAGAGAAAGCCACGATGTTCTTACAAATCATTAAAGAAACTGTAGATGTTAAGTAATACCTTCAAAATGGCATTACTTATGATAAAACACAGATACAAGTACATACATGCATTACATGTATAAACATACAAAGTAGGCATCTCACGGTGTGAGGAATGTTTTTTTATACTTTCAGGCATGAGCCTTGAGATGCTTTCCTCGATCCTTTCATTGAGGCATTTTCCTTCAGCCTTGCCTTAAGGTGAGCCTCGAGGCATATGCCTCGTATGCTTTATAGAGTACTGGTTTATGAAGGACATTTTTGTTGCTTGAGTCATTTTTCTTTTATTATTATTGAAGTTTTGCTGAAACAAGCTAGAAATCCCATTAAGAAACGTGCCTCCTAATTGTTAACATCCCTATCAATTTTAGGCTTTTCCCCTCATTGGCTATTCAAACTTCAAAGCTGTGCCTAGGGTCCCTTGGGCCAACAGAAAACCTGTCTGGGCGTCATACTTTGTTACCAAAAGAATCTCCTTGGCTATTCTAAGCTAATACGAGGCAGAGACCCAACCATTGGCCCATAAACCATACAAAAACCTCACCTGATTGTTGTTGCCAGGTATAGACATGATGAACTTTCAACCCTTTTATTATGCCCTTTCATGCACTCAGCCCCTAGCATAATTGGGAAGGATTTATCTAACAATTAAAGTTGCTGGTCTGATATTAGTATTCACCTGTTTGCATAGCTTATTGCCTCCTTGATGTAACTTCTTAACCATTTACCTAGCAACTTGTTGATTGCTTTTTACAGGAGAGGACCTATTCAACCATGATCAACTTTTGTACACATCAGGGACCAATCATTCATGTCATATTATTTGTATTTTTCTTGGACCACCAATAGTCAATTTCTTTCCGCCCTTTTAACTGTCTTTGAAGTTCAAACCAGTAGTGAAATATATTAAAGACATATGGTAGATGGTTTGATTTGATTAAGATTGGGCCACCGGTAGGCAATTTCTGTCCATCCTTTTAAGTGTCTTTGAAGGTCAAACTAGTAGTAAAAATATATTAAGGACATATGGTAGATAGTTTGATTTGATAAAGTGTTTCAATATAATGTCAATTTACTCCATTTAGATAAATGACCTTTCCTAGAACTTTCTAGTTTTCTACTAAACCGTTCTCTGATCTGCTATTTTCTACTAAACTATTCTAGCACTAGACCCAAATAATATTGGATTTGTAATGACACCAAGTGGCAGATGTCAAAATCAAGAGGCCTCAAATCCCTATAAGCATCTCATTCTTTGGCTTAACTAGAGACTAGTTTGTCTTGGGTATGAAAGTGAACTTCACAAAGAGCAACTTGCTAGGTGTCATCAAAAGCAACTCCCTGAGGAAACTAGTTTTGAATTCAACCATTCAACATGAAAACTTGATCTTGTGGTTTCTTTGTATCCATTTTGGAGCACTAATTATAAGTGAAGTGGGTGGGGGGACTCCACTACAGTTGAACTAAAAACAATGGTTTTCGGAATACAAAAAACCAGGGAAATAGGTGTGAGAAAGTCGGTTGTTGAAGGCGACTCCAAAGTGATTATAAGCTGGCTAAAACATGATGGAAAGATTCCATGGATATTCAGAAATGAGATCAAGAAAATTAAGCACATCACAAAAGACATCCAGTTAATAGTTCAGTGGACTCCAAGAGTAGCAAATGGGCTTGCGGATCAGCTAGCAAAGCAAGGGGCTAACAGGGAACAATGTTTCTGGGCTCTATTGTAAGATTGTAAGGCAAATATTGGGTGGAATGTTATTGGGCATTTGGGGTAGCCGAGGCTACCCAATCTCTGTACTAATTCTCATATCTTTTCTTTAATAAATTTACTTTTACTGATAAAAAATAATAAAAGTGGGTGGCATCTGAATGTAGGCAAATTAGAAAAGACATTGTGGACATTCATCTTCCCTTTTTTATTTTCTTGCATCATTCACTTACCATAACATCTCAGGAATTAAGCATAGAACACCATTCATCATCTTCCCATATTCTTTCTCTTGAGCTAATACCAACAAGAATTTTGGTGGCCAAAGATAGATGGAATAACAAATTAGAAAAGACATTGTGGACATTCATCTTCCTTTTTTATTTTCTTACATCATTCCCTTTTTTATTTTCTGATGGAAAATGTAATTTTGGGGTAAGATGAAAGAATTAGATACTAGGGTGTCTGTTGTCATGTCATTAGCAATGTTTTAAAAACAGTCCGGGAATCAGAATTACTTTGGCCATTGGTTTGTGGGTCAATGGTTTGACTGTCCGGTCCGAATGGATCAGCCCGTTGCAATTAAAAAATAAAAAAAATGACCAAAAACTGTTGTTCAAGTCGGACGGGTTGATGGTTCGATCACCCAGGTCAATGGGTTGCTAACCAAGTCAACAATTTTTTGGCAAAATAATCGTTCAGGGGTGAAACGGAACCAGTTGCTTGACCACTTTTTGGGTTGAATGTTCCGAACTCTAGGTCAATGGTGGTTCAAAACCCGTGGTCATTAGTATTTCTTGGTCCATGGGTTAGAGATTATTTCTTAGCAAAGTGATGACTTAGGTTTGGTGACCCTTTTTCCCCCTTTTCTGTTCACTCTAATTATAGATTTTTTAGCATGTTGATATCAAGGGCAGAAGGGTTAGAGCTTATTTGAAGAAGATGGGGAGTGAGGAAGGATGAGACAGATATTACCCATCTACAATTTGCTGATGACATCATTTTATTTTACAAGGATAAGGGAGAGGTAGGAGCATGACCTCTCCAATTCTTGATTAAGTGTTTTAGACTGAAAGCCGATCTATAAAAAGCTGCATTGCAAGCATCAAGTTATGTTGAGTTACGCCTTGAATTCCAGTTTGCGCCCTGCTCCTTGATCTGACTTAAAGCTTAAGGGGAAGAACCCTATTGGGTGTATTTGTATTTGCCGCACATACAGAGAGCTTTGGGCATATTGGGTGCTAGGGTCTTGTGAGGCTACTCAATTCTGTACTTCATTTTTACTGATTTAGTAGATTTCTGCTCTTCCATCAAGACTTTTCTAAGAAACTTTAATCAACTAATTTGTGTGTTATGTTCTCCAGTAGTGCAGGGAATCCGGGCCCATCTGGTATTGGAGGGGTGTTTAGGGACAGTGAAGGCAAGATCATTGGTCTATATTCAGGTCCAATTTGGAATGGGTAATTCCCCAAGGGCTGAGGTTATGGCTGTCAAGGATTGCAAAAGGCAAAAGATCTGAATGTGAGAAAACTGATTGTAGAAGGTGGTTCAGAGTTAGTATTGGAGTGGTTGCGAAGGGAAGAAAATGGTTTCTGGACTTTCAATAACAAAAAAAAAAAAAAGAGATTCAAGTGAATGACTCAAGATATGGAAGTGCAGTTCAGTAGGGTTTAAAGGTCTGCAAATGATCTTGCTGATGTCTTAGCAAAACAAGGGGTGGGGAGAAAGTTTACTTCTCCCTATCTTGTAATTTTTAAATATTTCTAATGAAATTCTGTTATTGATAAAAAAAAAACTTGTAAGATCCTAAAACTAAAAATGAGAGAACCAAATCGGTATTTGTTGTCACATATTTGTTTTCTTTGTAAAGCTAGTGGTGAAGCTACATTTTATTTGCTAATCTTCTGTCCATTTATCTCTAAGGGAGTTCCCCCCCCCCCCCTTTTTGTTTTGTTTTTTGTCTTTCCGGTCGTAGGTGGACACCTCCTTTGGTCTATTTTGGAGGAGAGGAATGCAAGGATTTTTAAAGAAAAGACAAAACCGAAAACACACTGGTTGAAAATATTTGTGTAAAGGTAGCCCATTGTAGTTTCATCCTTGACTAGGCACATTTCCACTATCTGTTGCCCCACCCCCACTAAAAAATAAAATAAAAAAAAAGAAAAAAAAAACAATCAAATTATTGATTGATGCAGGTTGGGCTAGAGATGGTTGTGGGAACATCGTAGCCATATATTTTTTTTTTTTTTTGTATATGGAAACTCAAAAGGGCAGAATTATTAGAATTATTGCAGGGAATGAAACTTAGCAAATAAACTGCAGATGTATTGATGTAGAAGGCGACTCTAAGGTTGTACTGTCCAAAATAACAGCTTAGGGTCTTGACAACATTAGACATTGAGACATTTGGCGAGACAAGTGGGAGTGAGTTTTTGTTGGGTCCAGTGATCAACAAATAGTCTAGCTGACGAATTAGCTAAATAAGGGATGCAAAGGGAACAATTGTATTGGGGGTATATTCCCTTGGGTTCCTGATTGTTGTAAGCCAAAAAGGAGACAAAAAAAAAAACTTGAGCAGTAAAAACAGCTTATAAATTCATCCCTGGGCCAGATGCCCCCAAAATTAACTAATTTTTATTTACCCCATTTCTTGCTAAGGGTTTTAAACTTTGGAAATGTGATTTCTCTTGTGGTTCTTTGACAAGAAACAGAAAGATATTTAAAGTCAAGTAAAAGCCTTGATTATGTCGTTCTGTGAATGCTGCAACGTAATCCATTAGTTTTATGGTTTTGTCACTGAAGGGATTTAGGAATTTTAAACCAGAGGGACTTTATATTTTAGGCATCAGTGTAGATACTATGGAACACTATAAAGGCCTTATGGTAGCATTTCATCTTTTCTTGTGCATCTATAGATTCTATACTTGTATGTTGAATGAAAGCTTGTTCTTATCAGAAAAAATTCATAGATCTAGATGAGTCCTGCTGTGCTACCAAAAAGTATGATATATAAAAAAACCGATAATATGAGATTTTGTTTAGTTAAAGTGTTTTAGGTATGCCTTTTTGGTACCGTAGAAATTGCCTTAAAGGATATATAATTATCTATACACTTCATTCTGGTAACCTGCAAAACAAGAACAGGTTGTTGTGTCATATCTTCTTCAACCCACTAGCTAGCAGTACAGGCATAAAATCCTCTAGGTATCTGCACTTCAATCTTATCAACTTTTTCTCTAGCCTTTGAATAATTGGAATCCAGGCATTCTTTGGAGTTTGGAGCTTGGAGCCTTAGCTCCAATGCAAAGTACCAAATATGTAAATGGAATATTTTGCAATGACACATGATAAATAAACCATGTTCTTCTAGGGCTGCATTTTCCATCTTGCCAATGCCGATTGCTATTTTCTAATAATCTCTTCCAAATTAATCTTCAACCTTGAAACTGCTTAAAAGTTTTTTGGAATAACTCCAAGTTTGGAGCTTGATACCCATTACCACTTTCATACTGTAAATGTGAGATAGCTAGACCATGCAGCTTTCTGTTAATTTGTAATAAAGAACTTTTATTATAAATGATCAAAAAATGTACAATGTTCTCTTCTGCAAGTTCCTAGTGGGAAAACAGACCCCCCAAAAAATCAACACATTAAAGCCCAAACAACTATCCTAGAGGGCCAGTCCCCCAATACTCCATCCATGGTCATGCTATTTGCTAATGAGATAAGAATCTGGATTGGATATTTTTTATTCCCCAATTGAATTGTCTCATTTCAATCAATGGTGGTTTTGGTTTGATTAGAGGCATCTCACATGTCACATGTCTTGTGCTTAGAATGTATTGGCATGCCTATTTTATCCCTTTCAATTTTCCTAGCAAAACGACACCTCAAAACATGGTGGGTGCTTTTATCAATGTTGTTGTGTTCCTTTTTCACTTTTCCGTTGTACATTTTCCAGTTAAACTGATGGGAAATGACCATCTCTATCCATTATGCAGATGATAACAATGTTCAAAGTGGCTCTAGTATGCAGGTAGCTTTTTGAGCCTTTTCTGCTTCTTCTATTACATATGTTAGTTGGCCACAGTAATTTTTATTTTTTATATTTTCTGTTTCAACATTTTGGGTAAATGTGCAGAGCATTGATTGGAGAGAACAATCGGCTGTGCAAAATGTAAAATCCATTTTCTCGAAAGAGGCAAGTGGGAGTTCACAAATATCAAATGAAGTTTATTTCTATGATGCATAATCTGATTGTCCTTGCATTCACAATGGTGCCTGGTCAAAATGATTTTGTTAGATCTAGTAAGACTAACTAAATAGATATGACAGGTGATTGATACCATCAAAGCATACACAGATGACATGGGACTATGGAGTCTTGATTTCATTAGAAAAAACCATCAATCTTCTTCATGGAAAGTTGTTGGGTTGGAGAATTCTAGCCAGAACAATGCCACCTATATAGAGGTAAAGGCTGACTATCATTTTGCATATGTTTACAAGTGTTACCACTGGTTTCTATACATAGTTCCAGTTTTTTCATGCAAATCTTAGAATTGTCTGTTAATCTTTTGGTTGTTCTTATCTTCTGTTGCTGTCTTTAAAGCCAAACCAACCGGTTGTAGTTGTAGATCGAGAGACTCCACAAGTGAAGCAGGGAAGTGTTCCTATAGGTAGTTATTCTTTTATTGGTGATCATTTATTTGATCTTTTAGTTTGTTTAGTGATTCAAGCAGTTATTTTTAAGTAAGAATCTTCTATGGGTGCAGGTGACCGCTCTCAATTTGTTGATACACCTGCAAAATTAGCCCGCCGGGTAAATTTCCTGCTCCTTTCCTTTATTTGTCATCTATGGCCTTAGTTACTCTTTTTCATGACCTGGATGGTTTTATCATATCCCTAACATTTAAGAGAAGAAAGTCTGTCACATATTATTTGGTTTATCCACATTATCGGTGGTGCCTTATAGCTGCATCTATGTTTTGCTTTTTCTTAATCACCATGCATGTTTTGTTTAATGGATAACTGTATATACCATTTCTAATTAGTTTAAACATCATCTAGCAATTGAGAGAGAAGAGGCGTGAAAAGAGGGCAGCTGAATTGGTCCGCCTGGATGATGAAGTTAATGTAAAACTTGAAAATGCTGCCATTGAACGCTCAAAAGCAGTTGACACAGCAGTTTTGGGGAAATACAGTATATGGAGGCGAGATATTGAGAATGAGAATGCAGATACAACTGTTCGCTTGATGAGGGATCAAATGATCATGGCTAGGGTGTATTCCAGCATTGCAAAGATGAAGAACAAGCTTGAACTAGATCGTGAACTACTAGCTCGTCTTAAAGAGAGCCAGCATGCCTTGGGGGAGGCAACTACTGATGCAGATCTAAGTCGCAGGTAATTATAGTTTTAGGTACTCAAAATATTTTGACATTGACATTTCCTGAGTGTGCTTTCATCTTCATGCCCCCCTTAATGGCTCTGGAATTTGTATTCCTCACACATGATTAGTGCACCTGCTAAAATCAAAGCTATGGGTCAAGTCCTGGCAAAAGCAAGAGAAGAGATTTATGACTGCAACTTGGTAATCAAGAAGCTGAGAGCAATGCTTCAATCAGCAGATGAACAGGTACGGAGCTTGAAGAAGCAGAGTACATTCTTGAGCCAGTTAGCTGCAAAGACAATTCCAAATGGGATCCACTGCCTTTCCATGCGCTTAACAATAGCCTACTATCTCCTCCCTCCTGATAAAAGAAAGTTCCCTAAGAGTGAGAATTTAGAAAATCCAAATCTCTACCACTATGCCCTTTTCTCGGACAATGTCTTGGCTGCATCAGTCGTCGTCAACTCAACTGTCATGAATGCCAAGGTAGGAAGTCTTTCTTTGTCCTTCATAGATTGAAATATGGTTCATTTATTATGAGTCTTTCAATGTTATTGTTGCTGTGGCTAAATTAATTTCCCTCCGTTGATTTCAGGAGCCAGAGAAACATGTATTCCATTTAGTTACTGATAAATTAAACTTTGGAGCCATGAATATGTGGTTTCTGTTGAACCCACCTGGAAAGGCCACGATCCATGTTGAAAATGTTGATGACTTTAAATGGCTGAATTCATCCTACTGCCCAGTTCTACGTCAGCTTGAGTCTGCTGCCATGAAAGAGTACTATTTCAAGGCAGATCATCCCACAACTCTATCAGCTGGTTCTTCTCATCTGAAATACAGGAATCCAAAATATCTTTCAATGCTGAACCATTTGAGATTCTACCTTCCACAGGTTTACCCAAAGTTGGATAAGATCCTGTTTCTTGATGATGACATTGTGGTCCAGAAAGATTTGACAGGTCTGTGGTCTGTGAATCTTCGTGGAAAAGTAAATGGTGCAGTGGAGACCTGTGGAGAGAGTTTCCACAGGTTTGATAAGTATCTCAACTTCTCCAACCCCCATATAGCAAGGAACTTTGACCCAAATGCATGTGGCTGGGCATATGGGATGAATATTTTTGATCTTAAGGAGTGGAAAAAGAGAGATATAACTGGGATCTACCACAAGTGGCAGAACATGGTAAGTGAATGGTAGTTGCATTTTTATGGTTTTTATTTCTCTACAGTCACAACATGCATGCATGTATATAAACATGCAAGGAAGAATGCACAATCATCAGTTGTATTTGTTTTATTTCCTTTGCTTGCATTAGAATGAACAAAGGGTGCTGTGGAAGCTTGGAACATTGCCTCCTGGACTGATTACATTCTATGGACTAACACATCCGCTGCAAAAATCATGGCATGTGCTTGGGTTAGGATATAACCCGAGCATTGACCGGTCAGAGATTGAGAGCGCAGCTGTAATCCATTATAATGGAAACATGAAGCCGTGGCTGGAGATAGCAATGAACAAATACAGGTCATATTGGACTAAGTATATAAAGTATGACCACCCGTACCTTCGAAACTGCAACCTTAGTGAATGAACAGGTAGAAGGAGCCCGGATGGATACCACTAAATATGCAGCAAATACCCTATCTCCTCTTCCACCAAGAGATCATTCTGGTCTGATTTACTCTGCTTAAAGAGGTCGATATTCCTGTGCTACAATTCTTGGTAATCTTCCCAACTATTGGTTATTCTTATGCTTCTTTGATTCATTTTAATTCATTTCATATTGAGCATTAATGTGTTCCATTTCTTCCCTTTGGTGCAAGGGTACAAGCTCTTTATGCCTTGTCCATATATAAGAACGCCATTGTGTATTTGGTGGGGCTTGAGTTTGATTATGATTATGATTGAAAGGATAGTCATATCCTAGGGATTTGAGTTCAGTTGTTTTTAATTCATGGAAAATGGTTTAACTGCCTTGTAAAATGAATTAGCATCAAGTGGTTGTTCTGGACCTTGCCCCCTCCCCTCCAATTTTGTGCCTTTTTAAGCTTAGATGATAATCTGTTTTTTCTTGGTACAAGATGCATGACATTGTTTCCACCTGATAAGGATAGAATGGTCACAATGAGCAACTACTGTTATTGGTAACGTGTGTTATGCCCTCACCCTTTCTTTCCCTCCAAAGAAGAAAGGAATAAGAACGAATAGGAGCAGCAAAATTTGTTAGTTAAGTGGCTAGAGCAGAGGGGTTTCAAACGATTCACGGATCTTTCACACAGCACTATGACATGATTGTCAACTCTGAGTTCAACATGAATCTCCTCGGTTTGGTGCCATGAACTGCAGTTCATGTGGAAAAGTTTCCTTCTCTCGGTTGTGGTGGTGCCCGGAGGTGGTATTTGCACATATTTGGTTATTCCTTTTTCCTGTATTTGGTGTGATTCAATGCCTTTGACCATCAAATGTAGATTGTTTTTCTCCCCGAAGGAAACTGTTTTTGATTTTCAATGAAGTGATTGCAGGTGGTTAAGTTATCAATTAGTTTATTTATCCAGTTTTTTGGTGTAAACAAATCTTCAAGACAAGGTTGAAAGTATCGGAAAGCCAATTTTAAGAGATTATTGGGATACGTTTTAATCTTTTAGATATGCATGGATATGAACGAAAAATCAAGATACGAATCAATATGCCAAAAACTCAAATAGATCCTAAAAAATAGATTAATAACGATAATTACAAATTTTATGACTGTAAATAACTTATTTAAATGTAAACAAATATAATTTAATGGTTGATGTAAAATGTGAGATATTGGGACACAATTAATAACCATTGAAAAATAATGGAAAAACTATATATTAATTTTCAAATAATTGATATATTTTTAATACTTATTAATTTATAATTAATAATTAATTCTAGCATTTATCAATAAACATGGAACATCCATTAAGAAAAAAATAAAAATTTATATGACCATATCAAACAAAGTAGTGTGGTTTAGAACCTAATGACTAAGGTTCGAATCTTGTAATCACTAAAACTTGTAGTTTTTATCCTTACAATTATAAGAGCTAAAATTAGTGGCTAATATTACTGATGAGTAACAAACGTTAAAGAGAGAGAATCATTAATTAATGAGAGAAGATTTGAATTAGGTGCTGGAATTTAAATTCAAATTGTATAGTATTGACCCTGATACTATACAAATTATATCATTAACGAAAAATTAATGATAAAAAAAAACTTCCGAAATGAATCAAGTGTATTGGACTATTTCGGATGGGTCTGTATCGGTTGATACCTTACGAAATTTTGAATCTTGCTTCAAGATAGGACCTACTAATTCACAATGCTTTGGAATTTTAGAAAATACAACATTATGTATAGTATTGACCCTGATTTCTAAGTGTTACAGCAGTAGGGATACCTTATGCTTGCCCTCTTATATTACTAATGCGAAATTTCGAATCATACCATTTTTCCTTGAAAATGACGATGCTTTTCTTTCTTCTTTTTTTTTTAAACCAAACAATGCAAAGGAGGTTGATGATGCACAATCTGGCTGGTCTTAGCTGTCGATGATCTTGCCTCTGAACTGAGTAACAGGGACCTGAAACGGAAGGAGAAGAGAAGCTCTGGGGAGAACCCGGCGTAAGGGCTCTGAAGTTCAAGTTAGAATCTTTCAGAGGCAAGATAAACCAGATAGCACGAAAGTTAGCATACCTCGTTCCTGGGGGGTAGAAGCCTTTTATAACCACCTCGCGCACTCACTTCCAGGCCTCCGTCAGGTCGGGCATGATTACTTCTGAACTCCTGCCAGTTCGGGTGTCATTTCCTCTGGCCGGACAGAACCGCCACAGTTCCTTTTGTCGGAGCCGTCTCTGCGGCTAGTGACGACGGTTGCAGGTGGCGGTGGCAGGAAGCCATTTGAAATGCGGCTGCCAGGCGTCAGATCCCAAATCAGTCAGGTGCGTCGCCCTTGGATACGGACGTCCTTGGTGTCGGGTACGTTTGGCTGGCCTGGTGCTTTGGAAGTGAAGTGTTGGAGTGGTGAGCGAGGTGTCTTGAGTTCGGTTTGGAGTGTTCCGAGCTGCCATGGGCCAGATCGGGTCAGCTTTGTGAGGCTTGGGGCCCAGTATTGGTCGGGCTCCTTGCAGGGAGCTCGGGTTCTTAGTAGGGAGCTCGCTCTTACCGGGGAGCTCGGACTCCCAGTAGGGAGCTTGTTCTTAATAGGGAGCTCGGACTTAGGGAGCTCGAGTTCTTAGGGAGCTCGGACCTTTAATAGGGAGCTCGCTCTTAACAAAGAGCTCGGGCTCCTAGTAGGGAGCTCGGACTTAGGAAGCTCGGGTTCTTAGGAAGCTCGGACCTTTAACAGGGAGCTCGCTCTTAACAAGGAGCTTGGACTAAGTACAACGGTCTGGAGTTTGGGCTCGGTAGTGAGTTCGGACTTGCTTCCGATGTTCGCTTTGGGCACTCTACTGTTCCGAGCTGCTTGCCTTTGCCACGTGTCGGGCGATCGCGAGGTCGGGCCAAATTTCCCTTCATCAATTGCCCCCCACTCCCTGCGACAATGGTTCCGTCTTGGCGCGGGGAGTTTGCAAGGTAGCAGGAGGGTTTTGGTCCGTGCTGAGCGCGCTTGCTCTAATTTG